CCGGGGCGCTGAGCCGGGGCCGGGGCCGGGGCGCTGAGCCGGCGGCGCGGGCGCTGCCGCAGTCTCGGCCGCGGCCCCCGGAGCTCCGCTTCCCGGGCAGACAGTTTACAGCAAATGGTTCCTTTCGATGCTAAAAATAACCCGCTAGAAAACAAATCTGCCCCATGGCTTCAACCGGAGAAAAGTGAATTTATTAGTAAAACTCAAGATGTCCTTTCCTGTTTTTCTCTGAAGAACCGGTGCTGAGAGGTTGATTGAGCTTCCCAGCCAGGCACCGGCTTATTTCAGTGCAGCGTTTGATTCCTCCAAGATTCATTTTTCTTCCCCTGCTAGCGATGCTCCATGGCTGGTCCCACACTCCACTGGCCAGAACAGCTCTGGGTTTGGGGCCACAAGCGATTTCCCAGCCAAGGGAGCTGTAAATGCCCTGTGAAAGTGTTCCTGCTGCCCATGCCTGAGAGCACAGCAGGTTCCCAGTGGAGAATGAACAGAACAAAATGAAATATCTGTTTTCTCTTGCAGCGTAAGCACCGTTTTAGGGACTTGTTTCTTCCTCCGCCTTAAAACTGCAGATTTTACTAAGTCTTGTTTATATACAAAGAATTTCCAGCTGTTTCTCTCCAGGCTTTTCTCTGGAAGGACTAACTGGGGAGAAAAGACAGATCCTCTATGAACTACAAATGCAAAAATGTCCCTGTTTGCCTGGACCAGCTGCTTGTCCCCCGCTCCAGCCCTGGCCCTTTCTTTCCAGCCATGCTCAGGGGCTGTGTGGTGTCCCTGGGACACAGCAAATGGTGGCACAGGAATCACAGCTGTCCCAGGCACTGGAACACAGATCTGCCATGAATCTGTTTGAGGGATTTAAATTAACAGTAGGCTTTTTTGGAGGCAGGCAAACCCCCTGAAATAAATGGAGAAATAAACCAGAAATTTCTCTGTGATCTGAAACATTTAACTGACTTTTAGGTCCTTTGTGTGTCTCTTGAGGCAGGAGCTGAGGTGCTGAGCAGTGACAGGAGGTGAGGCTCTGGGTATCCCTTGGGCATCATCACACAGGCTCAGGGCAAGGCCTTTTGGGGGTTTCTGGCTTGAGAGCCACGTGTGAACAGCCCCCTTTATGGAGGCACTGCGAACCTCCCCCAGGCTGGGATTGGCAGTGTGGCTGCAATCCAGCACTCATCCCTGTGCTACACCATTGGGAGAGGATGTGTCCTGTACTCCCAGGCTGAGTGCTGCTTTGCCCATGAGCCACCCTCTGCTTCTACCTGCCCTACTGGAAAGGAAAATAAAGGTTCAGCTCGTGCAGCCCCTCTGCCTCACTGTGGCCCTTGTGCAGCTGGTGTCTGCCCTGGGGCACCCTGCCAGATCTTTTCCCACATCCCAGCTCAGTGCAGTGGGATAGTGGCTCCAGGGATGGATCTGTTGTTTCAGCTTTGCACACAGAAAGTTTCTTTCCTCCAAGAGCCCTGAGGAAGCTGCAGCATCTCGTGATGGATAGTGCAGACCTGCTGGGGTCTTGGATAGGGCCAGGCTCATGGATGAGCTGCATCCCAAAGGAACTGCACCCCATCTCCTCTGGGCTCTCAGCATGGCACTGTGTGGCCAGCACTACACACTTTCAAAGGGGGGTTTATGCCTCCAAACCGAGTAACATTTCATTCAGTGACAATTCCTGGCTCTTGGCACCCCCACCAGTGAACCTGCCCCTGAGCTCTCCTCCGTGCCAGCAGCTCCCCATTGCCGTGGCACTGTCTCCCCCCTGCCTGCACTGGAGACACAGAGCTTCTGCAGGGTGGGCTGTGCTGGTCAGAGCAGACTGGGAGCTGTGGTGGGTGGCTCTCCCCATCTCTGCTGAGCACAGAGGTGCACCTCTGCACCTCCACATGTGAGCAAAGGCAGCCAGGACAGAGTTAATCTGACTCCTGTCCTTGGATGTCCTGAGCACAGCACAGAAGCAGCTTCTCCAAGGAGGAGCTGTGGTGCCTTTGGAAAGCCTGGGAGCTCTGTGATGCTCCTCAGGGTAAACTTTTTGCCCATAAGCCCAAACAAGCAGAAGAATTTCACGCTGGCTGGGCTGTGCGTTGGCACGAAGGGCTCTTCAGGGAGCCAGATCGGATCTGAGTGTTTCCTGCTCATGACAGAGCGGAGGTGTTGGGCAAAATTCAGATGATAGCTTCCTCCCAGGACGCTGAGGAGGCAGCACAGGTCGTGGTGCACTGAGCATCTCCCGGGGCTTCCTCACTGCCCCGCTCCTGTGCTGGCGCCTGCCTCGAGCAGCGATCCGGGGCAAGGAGCTCTTGCTGCGGGGGGGGGGGGGGGGGGATATTTAAACGAACGGCACAAAAGATGCCACAACTCTTTTAAACCTGGGCTCGGCGAGTCCTGCAGGACAAACGGGTGCCCGCAGGGTGCAGCCGCAGTCGCTGTGCAGCGCACATACCAATGCTGCCGGGGGCAGCGGCCGGAGCTGCCGTGCGCTGCTCGCTCTCCCGCTGCCCCGGTCCCGCGCAGCCGGCACCGCCTATTTATAACTGCCTGCACTGCAGGATGCTACTGGACTGATGGCTTCACACAGGCACGCTAAGTGTTGTTCTATTTCTGTGATTTGCTCTCTTCTGCGCAAGCTGTTGGTCCCTCGGATGCCAAAGCACTCCGTGTAGTATAGACAAAGACTCAGCTTTTTCTCTTTTATTAAAATATTCACCAACAGCACCCCAGTGGCAGGTATATTTACCATTTTTCCCAGCTCACCTGGATAATTGCATCTACTATTCCATCCCAGTCTGATCGATACCCTTGGTAAATAAGATAACCTGTCAGGTTTGTTGTCACTGCAGCCAAAGGTACTTTAGCAATGAAATTGTTTTGCTGAAGAAATAAATGGCTCTCACAGAATCTGAAAATGCTGTGACCTTTCATTAGTGACCTGAGTGACTCATCCCTTTTTGTGTGCACACTGCAGCCTCCCACCACGCTGTAAAAGATGCTCCACCAAAGTCCTACTGCTGGGTGCCTGGAGCAATGGAGAGCCAAATCCTGTGGGAGGTTCCTGCTCTGGCTGCTTCTCCTCCAGCTCCACACCTCACCTGGCCTGAGGGCGCTCACGTTATGGCCATGGCCTGTTTGTCCCGTGCACCATCCCAGTGCCACAGTGATGTCCCCAGCACCCCCAGCCCCTGTGTGCAGCAGCTCCTGCTCCCCCGGGCTGTGGAAGCCTCTGACACAAAGGCATGAGCCCACGTTCTGAGCACAGGGCAGCCAACCCACACTTGTTCAGCAATCAGGGCTCCACTGGCCACACCAACACCCCTGAACTGAGTCAGAGCCAGATTTTAGCTAATGTGTGCAAAATAAAATGAAGAATTAATCAGAGTTGAGTTCTATGCATTTAGATGTTGCTGATAGCAATATTTTCTTCTTGTAGAGTGTTTTGCATGCCAAAAAAAATCCCCAGTTCTGCATTTTGGAGGAAAAAAGTGGTTGTACATCTGTGCCTCTGTACGTGTGCTTGTTATTTCTGCCTGACTGGCTTCCCTGGGCTGTCAGCTCAAAAGTTCTCTGTAACATAACAAACCTTGACTGTGTTTGCAACGTATCCTCAACCAAGAGCTGTTTATTTAATGAAGCAAGAAATGCTGCCAAATTTCCAAGCTTGATCCTGATCCCATTAGTGTCAGGAGCAGAATTCCCACCATGTTTGATTTATTGGTTGGGTCTAATCTTGATAAAGGAGCTAAAAATCTGCTTTCAGCTTGATTTTGCAGACAAAACCATTGCGCCATGCTGCTGCACCAGAGAGGCTGTGGAAAAGCAGAGAGTGCAGGTGGGATTCCTTTCACTTGCTTTTAGACATCTTCAGAGTATGGCAACAGATAGCCAAGGGAGGGAAAGGGGAATGTTCAGCTGGCCATAAGGCAGGAGCCCAAAAGGGGTGATGATTCAGGAGCTTCTCTGGTGACACCAGCCCCTTCCTGCCAGCAGCAAATGCTTGTGTGTGGCCCTGCCAGTGTCAGGCAGAGTGCTGGGAAAAGGGGAAGGATGATTATGATAGCTCCCTGCCTGTTTACTCACTCCCAAAACTCTCCCCATGCCACAGGTGGGACCTGGGACAGGCTGGGTGCTGCCCTGGTTGCTCCAGGCACAATCCCACCCTCTGCTTCCAGGGGATAAAGAGCTCTGGAAGGTTTTGAGGGGCGAGCTGTGCCCACACATTTTGAGCAGGATCCCTGCAGTGACCACACACTGGAAGGATGGCAGTTTTGTTGCTCCATCACCAGCTCTGAAGAGGCTCATGTGCCAGGGGTTGAGCCTTAATTACACACACACCTAATAAAGGGAAAGAGTTCATTCCCCCATTCCCCCCAGTTCACTTGGGAAGCAGCACTGTCTGCAATTCAAGGGGAGTGTGAAGTTACAGATTAAAAAATAATTAAAATCCCTCCCCAAATAACTCAGACATCAGCCCAACACACAGATCCTTACTGGCTTTTTCTGCTTTGACAGATACAGAACACAGAAAAATGTGAAGATTTATGCCTGCAACTGTCCCTGGGGCTCAGAGATACTTCTTAGGACACAGATCTTTAAATCATTATTGAAAGTGAAGGGAGGGGGCACTGGAGAAGACAAGAAGACACATCTGGGCACAAGGATGCAGGGGTGAGAGCAGAGTTTGCAGCGCTCCCTCCCCAGCATTTGGTGATGATTTGCTTCAGCCAGTCCTGCCCAAAGGGGGGCAGTGCCAGGGTGTCACAGCTCCCCTGGGCTGTGGGAGCCAAGGCTGGTTCTCTGGGGAGCTGTAGCACCTTAGACAGGATCCATGTGTGAAGATGGAAGAGCTGGACAGCTTTCAGAGGCGTGGGTGTTTGTTGAGGAAAGGAGAAGAGTTCGGAGCTCTGGAGAAGCCCGGATCTGGGGCGCACATGCAAGGAGCAGGGACCAGGTCTGATCCTAATGTCTCAGTCTTCCTCCTACAGAGAGAGAAGATCTCATTGGTGAATTTATGCTTTATCTTTGGTTTTCCTCTGGATGAGGTGGGAGCTAGACACTTCAGGCTCTGCTGCACCCTGACTGATGCTGAGCAGACTCCTCAGTGTGTGCCTGTCACAGATCACTCTCCACTGGCTGCCTGCAGTCTCCCAGCAGTTTTCTGTCTGCAGAGCACTGGGAAGATCATCACCACTCCCTGAGCAGGCAGGCCCCTGCTCCAAGCCGCAGGCCAGCTGGCTCCCAGGCTCCCATAAAGCTTTAAAAGAAGCCAGACAACTCACAAGTGAAAGCATGAGGTGTTTATTTGCACTGCAGACATATTAAGTGCACTGAAAGCCAGCTGTGCTCCCTCCACTGCCCAGCTAAGGTGGGTCTGTGTGAGGAACAGCTGACAGAGATAAATGTCAGGAAAAGAGCACAACATCTGTCCCTGGGCCAGTAATTTCCCAGAAAGGGCCGATTTTAACTCACAGTTCACTTCCTTCAGCTGGGCTCCAAAAGCTGCTGTTGCTGCAAATCACATTATTGAATTGAAGTGTTTGAGCTGTTTGTGGTAGGTAACACTAAGATCAAAAATGAAAATACTGCTTGGGAGCCTCTGCTTAAAAGCAGAGATCTGTCACCCCTGGTGATGACAGATCTCGCCATCACATCCTGCCTTCACAAGCCTTCATGCCAGTGCTGCTTCTCTTTTTATTTGCAATCTGATTTTTACAAGTCATATCTCATGCCCTTGCAAGGCTGGATGCAAGATGTAAGCACCCACCTGAAGATTTGCAAACTCTCTTGGCATTTTCCTGCTTGAAAGCAGGAGTTCAGGCTACTGCAGTCATTCACCTTCCAAAAGAAAATCCCAACCAATAGCCTCCAAACACTTTAAAATGCCCATTTGTTAGTTCTGCTATGTGGTCTTCCAAAAGAGGGGGAGTAATGCCAAAAATGTCTTTTACTTTTGCAAAGGAGGTGGGCAGTAGAGGATCCCACAGATCCTGAAACAGCTCAATCACTAAGGAACTGGCACAGCTTAGTAATGTACTTAAAACCTGATTTTTAAATGAATATTTCCATTTCCAAAGCTCTTCCTCCACTGCAAAAATTTGCCCTCTCAGCTGTTCTGCAATGCAGGATCTCTCCTTAGGTGAAGGAGGGAATGCTGTCTCAAACACAAGTACAGTAGAGTAGAGAGGATGCAGTGGAGGGACAAGGTGTCCTGCCTCCCATCCCTGAGCCATAGAGGAGCTGGGAAGCAAGGGGGTGTTAACCAGCTCAGCCTGCTGCAGGAGAGGCTGGAGGGAAATGCTTTGGACTGGAGCAAACGTGATCATCTCTTTCCATAGGCAAAATGGTTGGGTTCAGTAGTTTTGCTTTTGGAATCTGGTCCCAGTTTTCTCTCCGATGCTGACAGTCCTGCCTGTCCCTTGTGTGCACAAAGCCTGTGATGCTGCTGTCACCATCTCTGCAAAGCGGGTGTCAGGGTGGGGGCTGCCCCCGGGGAGGGGCCAAGCACAAGCTGATGTGGCAGAAGCAGGGGTGTCAGGTACCTCAGAGCTCATTAGAAGCCTCTCCCTTACAAATAATGTCGTTCCTCTTCTTCTCAGCTGCCTGGCAAGAGGTTTTGCTCCGGAAGGGTGGCCTCAGACACTGTCTGGCGCTTTGGCGGATGGTCCTCACTCGTGACCTCCAGTCTTTGCTGGTAACCACATAGAGCAAGGGGTTGAGGGCACTGTTGAGGCTGGCCAGGCCCCGAGTCACCTGGTAGGAAACATAGATGTCCTTTGAAACCTGTGTGCAGGACCCTTGTGGCTGCCAGCGAAAAAACAAGTTGAGGTTTCTGAAGATGTGGTAGGGGAGGAAGCAGATGGAAAAGAGAACCATGACGAGAATCACCAGCCCGATGCTTCTCCTCCTGAGGCTGGGGTCCACGCTGTCGTTCCTGCAGAGCACGAACACCACGTGGCAGTAGCACCCGATGATGATGAGGAACGGGATGACAAACCCAGTCACGGTGACAGCAAAGGTGTAGGGCAAGTAAACGTGCAGGTGCTCCTGTCCTGTCGTGTCGTGGCACTGCGTCCTGTTGCCATCTGCCTTGCTGAAGGCAAGATCGGGAGCTATCTGTGCCACGACCCACACCCAGACTGTCACGCTGAGCCACACGGAGGAGGCTGCACCCTGGCATCTTCCCCGCGCCTTCAGCGGGTGCACGATGCCCAGGTAGCGGTGGATGCTGATGCAGGTGAGGAAGCCGATGCTGGCGTAGAGGTTGAGGTGGAAGAGGCTGCGGGTGAGGCGGCACCAGGGCTGCCCGAAGATCCACACTCTGCCGTGGCGGTAGTAGCTGACGAGGAAGGGCAGCGTGCTGACATAGAGCAGGTCAGCCAGCCCCAGGTTGCCCACCAGCAGGCTGAGGGGCTGGCGGGCACCCTCGCGGGGCCCCGTGCAGAGGTGCCACAGCCCCAGCCCGTTCCCCAGCAGCCCCAGGGGGATCACGGTCAGGTACACGGCGGGCAGGAAGCGCTGGGCGAAGGCGGAATCCACGGGGCAAGGAGCCCGAGGCAAGGTGCCATTGCCGGGCCAGGCGGAGAGAGCGTCCGCAGCCATCGGGCGCTGCGGCAGCGCTGCCAGGGCGGCAGCCCCGCTCGGAGGCACCGGTGCCCGCGGCAGCTCCGTGTCCTCCGGCACAGGCTGCGGCTCCCCCGCTCCTGCTGAGCCCGGCCCGGGACTCGAGGGTGCCGGACTTTCCCCGGGACACGGGGAGGATGTGCCGACAGAGCCTCAGCGGAGCGGCTTCCGCCCCTCCCCCGGCGCCTCCCCCCGGCCCGCTCGGAGCCGGGCGCAGGGTCACGGAGCCCCCTGGCTGGTTTGGGTGCTGGGACTGCCTGGGGGGAGCAGGAGGCAGGGGGGCGGCAGAGGGATGCCTGAGGAGGGGAGCCAAAGCTTTCAGCCTGTTTGTGTTCTGTCCCACTCGCGGTCAGGAGAAACCTCCCAGTTTTCCACACCGGGGGCTGGAAGCCTGCACCCCATGAGCCGCCCTCCCTGCCATTCCTGACAGCCTTTTTCCTGCCCGCAGCGCTCAGGAATACTGGGAGCAGAGGTAAGGAGGACACTGGCAGTGTTCCATGGGGCTCATGCTGCCACGGCCGGTGCCAGCAGGCAGAGATGTACCAGGTGTCTGCCTCCAGCACAGGCAGAGTGAGCCCTGCTCAAGAGCTGCCCCCTCCCTACAGCTGCTCCTGCTGCCTAGTTCTATCTCCCTCCCCAAGCACAAAACCCTTTCCCCGTTCCTCCTTCGAGCGGTCCAGACCCGTGCAGGGAGGACGTGAGATGGGCTGCGAGGCAGGAGACACCCAGATCCTGTGAGACTGGGGCAAGAGCTAAAAGAGGCGACCCCAAAGCAGACCCCGAGGAAGGGCAGCCCCGGTCGCATTGCTGAGCAATAAACGGGGCCAGAAGTCACTTGGATCTGCAGACGTGGAAGTTAACGGCGAAACAATCAGCAGGGAGAGGGTTTACCCTGATAACCCATTTCCCGTAGGTAAACGACCTTGGATTAACGACTTGAGGCGAAAGGCTAGGCTCTAGAAAGACCGCGTCCGCTTGCTTTCCGGGAATTGAAGCCGGGCAGGGGTGGGAGGAGGCTGGTATCTCATCAGCCAGAGGGGAGGAGGAGGAGGAGGAGGAGGAGGAGGAGGGAGGGTGAGTCCTGCCCAGCCATCCCGACTGCGCGCCCATCCCTCCCCGGGAGCAGCTGAGCATCTCCGCCGGACCACGGCAGCTCGGGGACACGGTGGGCAAGCCGCAGATGGGATGGGGGTTAGCTGCGTGCTGAGGGTGCCAGTGTGTTTGTTGACTTCAGAAAGTGCTTGCTGGAGCAGATAAGCGGTGGAAAACGTTGTGTGTTATTTCCTGCCTGTATAATAAAATCTCACCACCATGGGTGTGCCGCCGAAAAGGTGAAGTGTGGAAGGTGTTTCCTTGAGGTGAAGAAATGGTTTTTCTGCGGTTTGCAGAGGCTCTGGTGGATCTGTGCCCCTGGAGTTACAGCAGCAGGGGGGGGTCCATGGGGGTGCACCCCTCAGGACATCCTGCCCTGCTCCTGCCCCCTTCCCCTCTGTGCACTTCAGCTGCTCCTGCAGCCTGGGCTTGGGGTGGCACTTGCAGAGCAACTTTATGGAGGTGTGGAAGGGCAGCGAGAGGAGAGGAACAGTTCCCTTTGCCCCAGAGCATCGACCTTTGGGGAAACTGAGGCAGAGACAGCAGCTGGCTGGGAGGACTTCTGTGATCATGGGAAGGGTCACGAGCTGCTCTCAGCAATGAAGGCAAAGCTTTCCCTGTCCCAAGAATGAAAGCTTGGAGCTGGTGCCTCCTGCCATGGGAAGAGAGGAGCAGGGCAGGGCACGGGGAGCACTGCCCGTGAATGGCTGGAGCCCCATGCCCTCCACATCTCCTATTCCCTGGACCCTTTGGAGGCAAACTCACAGATCTTTTCTCTTGTGCCTGCCTCCTGTGTGTTTTAGGTGTTTTAGGAAACCATTTGACCATGTTTTCACTCACAGTACAGGTGCTACTGCCAGCTCTGCCCAAACATCCTGCATGAGGATGCTCCCCTCTGGCTCCTGGCTCTGGCAGGCAACAGCAGTGCTGATGTCAGGATGAGCACACAGGGCCAAGATAGCTCCTGCAAACACATAACCTGAATCATGTGTTTCCAGGAAAAATAAAAAACCCCATTTGATCTGGATTTTTTTTTTCAGTTGAGCACTGCATTCCTGTGCTCAGTTTCTGAAAATGTTTCACTGTAACAAGGGGCTCATCCAGCCCTCTCTCACCCAGCTCTATGCATTTAAAAATCATCAATCATGAGAATGGCTTGGAAAAGCAATTCTGATGCATGTTGTTTACTCATCCAGCAGGACAGTTTTCCTTCAGCTGCTGCGTGTGCTTGCACAGAAATGAGCCGTGATCTGCTGCTCATCACTGACTTGGGAGTGTGGTTGGCAGATCCCAGGCTGTGTGCAGATGTTGCCTTGTGCCTTGAGGACAGGAGTAAATTTTCTTTCAGTTTGGGGATTTTTATCTTTCCACATTACCTGTGGATGGGGTGGAATATTCTTCTGTTGCCCCACACGAGCAGGCAAAGCCAGGACCCTGCGTCAGAGCCCCAAATAACCACGTTTCCAGGGTAGCAGGGCTTTAGAGGGAAATATTGTGAGACTAGCAATCAAACTGCAAGGGTTGATTTCCCTGTATTCATAGGGAAAAATGACTCTGATTTATTTGGAATCATTAATTCATTATTTAGATGCTTAGTGAATCAGGGAGACATTCTGCAGGGGGAAAAAAAAGAGATAATTATAGCAGAGGTGTGTTGAGTCATTTGTTTGAGATGAGAATTGCAGGTTGCTGCCTAAAAAGTGACCTTCTGATTTTTACCATCACCCAGAGGTGACTAGGCAGGATCTGGGAGTGTGTGACAGCCCTGGCAGCTCACCCAGCCTTGGTGGCTGAGTCCAAACATGCTTGAACAAGAACTGGCTTAAAACCAGGATTTTCAGTACCCACAACATGTTTTATCCATGTCAGTCGAGGAATGTGGTAGTTTTGAAGTCTACATGAACTTTGGGTCACCACTTGTTTGGCATGGCCACCAGAGAACTAAAAAAGCCAACCAAAGCTGTTTGTTCTGAGATTTGCTGCTTGCTGGAGGTTCACCATGTGCCCCATATCAAACAGAATTAATGATTTGTATTCAGGCTGAGCACCAGATGATTTCAGTAAATAATTCTCTTTGTAGGCAATGTTTTACTGCAAGAGCAGTAAGGTTTCTTTTTTTCTTTTTTTCTTTTTTTTCTTTTTTTTCTTTTTTTTCTTTTTTTTTTTTTTACCCCTAAGAAGTGGCTGAACTGCATCCTTTACTTTCATTTTCTTATCAGCTCTTGCAGGGCCTGAGGGAGTGAGTGAGTTACCGTGGCCCTGCTGCCATTTCTGCTGCTGCAGGGGAGGCTTTTCCTTGGGCTGGAGAGAGGAGCTCCCCCTGCCATTCATCCTTTTGCCCCTTCACCCCAGAGCTGCCCTGGTCAGCAGCACAGGCAGCTGATGGTGGCTGCACCATGCTGGGGAAATCCCAGCCCAGGGGAACTGGAGGAAGCGTGGGCCTGGCAGTAGGAGGGATGAGCTACAGGGGAGTTTGGGCATTGATTTTTGGGAGCTCAGGAGAGGCTGTGCCTGTGGCTGCAGATGCAGCAGCAGCGCCATGCCCTGCCCTGCTCTCCTGCATCCCAACACTGGAGGCCTGGGCACTGCTATGGCCAGAGCTGGTGCCATCAGCAGAGCTTATGGCTGGCTGAGAGTGAAGGATTTAACCCAGGATGTAATAAATTGTAATAATGTGTTTAGTGCTTTGATTCACATTTTTTTTCTTTTTCCTTCTCTTATCTAAGCAGCCTGAATTGAGGTGTCTCCAAGCTGCCCCACCCTGTGCCAGGACTTTCCTGCACCCACCGAGCTGGCCCTGAGCAGCAGGGCTGGGCTCGCCCTGCACAGAGAAGCTCCAGACCTGGATGAGCACATCTTTATTTTTAGTCCCAGAAATACCCATCTAAGAAGTCCATCTCTCACCTGGACACGTCACCCAAACCGCTGCTCCTTCCACTGCCCTTCCCGCGGCGGAACGCGCCTTCCCTCTGCACGTTTGTGCGAGGCCGTTAGAGGGCATTTGGGTTTCATTTTCCATCACCCACAAGGACTTTTTACTGGGAGAAAGCGCAGCCAGAGCAGCCGAGCAGCTCTCCTGCGCCGACTCCTGCACGGCTGGAGCAGCTCCAGCCCGTCGGGAGACGGCCCCGACTCATCTCTGCCATTTGTTTTCCCTCTTCCCTGCTTTTCCCTCGGCCCCGGCTCGCGGGGAATGTGCTTGGATGGCAGGCGGGGAATGTCTGGTGCTGCGGGGCGGAGGATCCGCTGTCTGAGCTCCTCGCTTGCCGGAGCCCTGCCAAACCACCAGCGCTTTGGAGAGGAGGAGGCCAGGCAGAGCGGGAAGGCTCGTGTTTATTCTGGAGGGATGAGGGGAAGGTGAGTTAGAGCTGCCATCAGGAGGACCCTGCCCGTGCCCGGGAAGGCAGGGTGGGTACCATGGGCTGGCTGAGCTCCTGCATGGTTGAGCAGCTCAGCCTGGTGTGGCAGTGACTTGCGGGGTGCAACTTGATGACCTGCTCCCTCCCTGGGGGACCAGGGCATGAGGGTTTCCTCCTGGGATTTTGGCTTCCAGGCGCCAGGAAGTGGTCTCTCTTGAAGTCCCTGCAAAGCAGAGCTGCATGATGTGGTAGAGAAGCAGCATCATCTCTTCAGAAGCCCAGTGATCCAGAAAACGACCAATTCCTGGTTTCTTGGGTGGGTTTATGCTTGGAGCATAAGGATTTCCCCATTTCCCATTTCATTCAGCCTAAGGAACTCGGAATGCTGCCCAGTAACCCTGCCTGGGGCAGTGGGGTATACAGAAGAGGCAGGTGATGTGTTACACAGGGATCTTGTTCTCTGCTTCCAGCCTCCTTTGCAGCTGAAGTCCATAATTTCCTCTCTGTTTTCCCAGTGGAAACACCCTCCATCTTCACCGTAACCACAGTGCCATGTGTTTGTGCCAGACTCTTTGCCGGGATGAGGCGTTGGCTCCAGGGTGAATCCGGGGTGGGCATAGCTACAAACGACTTCCTCTTCCCCTCTGGAAAGGCAGAATGGAGATCAGTGGGGAGATGGAGAGGGCTGGTGGTGTGTCCCCCGCAGCTGGGGAGCATGCAGCATGGCAGTGCAGGGGGAAAGAAGTGGGCAGAAAGTGCCACCTGCACGCCAGAAAGGCAGATTAGCACTGTGTCCACACTGGGGCTGTGCCAGGCTAATAAAGGGGTGGCAGAAGCACCTCCCGGGTGTGCCCAGGGAGCCAGGCAGGAGCTGCAAATCCATCTCTGGCCATAGGGGCAGGCCGGGCTCACCTGTGTGGGATCCACAGTGCTCCTGGATTCAGACATCCAGGCACCCCAAAATTCTGGTCTGCACCCGCCATCGGCTGTTTCCCAAGCAAAGAGGAGACGGTTCGTGTGTCCCTGAGACACGGTCAGCTCATGGCTGAGGAGGGCTGATGGGGGGCCCACAGGCAGGAGTTGCTGGCACTTCCCTTGTCAGTCCCCGTGTGCCCAGAGGCAGCAGCTCCCCCAGCCTCACTCACCGCCGGGAACGCTGCGGGCAGGGCCGGGCAGGGTCTGGCCGTGCAGAGCCGCCTCTGGGTCTCCAGCCGGCAGTAGCGGTTCTGGTTGGACACGCGGGTGGCAAAGCCCAGCCCGCAGGTGGCCGAGCAGGCGCTCCACTCCGTGCCCCACGGCGGGCAGGGGGAGCGCAGCGGCAGGGACACTGCCCCGGGGGCTGCAGGAAAGGACAGGGGGGAAAGGCTGGTTGGAGGTGTTGCAGTTCGTATGGGGGGCTCCCCGGGGAGTGCCCGGAGGGCCCCCTAGGCTGTGAGCTGGCTGGCAGCAGCAGGCAGGCAAGGAGACTCCACACGGCTTCTGAGGGTGCTGATTAGATGAGGGTTTATTGGGGGTCCCACCCCCGGGAGCAGCATGGCTACTGAGGGAAAAGGGGTAAGGAGGAGGGAGGGAGAGAGAGGGAGAGCCTAGGAAGAAAAGGGCCAAGAGAGACCCACCTCTCCCTTGCACAGCTTAACAGGGAGATTCAAAGTGAGTGCGGAATAAAATTTGGGCCAATGGGATTACAGAGACATGATACTTCAGGAGAGGATCACAGTTTAGAACAAACCGTGCATTTTCGAGGGGTGAGAGAAAGCATACCATTTAACTAAAATGCAACACCACAGGAGGCAGGTGCTGTGCACCGTGTGGTGCTGCAGGCATAGCCCTGCGTGGCAGAGAAACGTGTGAGGTGTCTCCTGCTGATGTTTCACAGCCATCCCCAGAGAGTTGCGTGGTGGGCCCTCTCCCTGGAGCTGCCCTGCATCTTACCTGCCCTGGCATCCCGGGGGAGGTGCTGGTCCTGGGCTTCACAGATCCACTCCGGGCAGCACTTCCCTGGCATCTCCACGCGCCGGGGGAAGGGGCAGTCCGGGGTGGGCAGCCGCACATCCTCCTGGCACAGCGGGATGCAGTTGAAACCCCCGTCCAAGCAATGGCACTGGATTTTGCAGCTGGGCTGGAAAACCTCCCCGTCTCGGTAGACCCGGCCGTTCACCTCGCAGCCCTCCTCATCGTCTTCAACTGCAAGGGACAGCCCGTTAGGGACAGAGGGACAGAGATGGGGATGGCAGGGGACAGGGCTGGGGGTAACTGTGGGGCTGGACAAAGGGATTGAGGTGGGGGGACCACAGAATTGACCGAGTGGTGTGCAGGGCAGACATGGGTGTGCAGCAACATGTTCATCACTCAGTCTCCTCCCCTTCCCCGTCTTCTCTCATCTCTCTGTTTTTCCAAAGCAACAGCTCACAAGCTGCAAGAACCCCCCTGCTCTTTGGCCCTGACCCTGCCTTCAGGATTTCCAGGCTAGGAAAAGTTTCTCTAAGATTTCTCTGCAGGACTCCAGGCTCCAGCCTTGGCTGGGTGACTGCAGCACTCCTGGGACTCCCCTGTCCATTCTCACTGAAATCACCCTGAATTCTCAGTCAGAAAGCAGCACAAAAGCTGGCAGCAGATGGGGCACAGCCCCACGGCCAAGCTGCATGCGTCATCCTCAGGGAAGCTGCTCCCCTAGCCTCAACCTCTCCCCTGGTGGTGCTGCGGGATGCCTGTGGCCATGTGAGGTCATGGCTGGAGCTGGGCTGGAGTGTGGGGGTATCCCCGGGGAAAGTGGGCACCCCTTACTCACAGTTGCAGGTGCCTCCTGTCCCTGCAGATGCTGAGCTGTAGTCACAGACGAGGCCCTGGCTCTGGTCACAGACGTGCAGGAAGTCGCAGGGCTCTCCCAGGTGCCGGGCACAGATCTTGCAGCAGCCACACCCGTCCAGGACCAGGGGGGACCCGCGGGGGCAGCGGGGTGGCACCCAGGGGCAGTAGCATGGTCTCCGGCACAGCTGGGCACAAACCTGTGGAGGCAAAGCTGAATCCATACGGGTGGTTTTTGGCTGGCAGCTGCTTTGTCACTGGGACAGCCAGGTGATTTTGTCACTGGGACAGCCAGGTAACTTTGTCTCAACCATGGGGGCAGATTTTTGGTGAAGGGAGGCTCCAAATCCATGGGAATATCTCAAAGCATCCTGGAAAGCTACTGTCCCCTTTGAAGGGCACCTATGGAAAACCATGGAGAATCAAGGATGCTCAGAACTCTGAAAGATGGGGACTTTAATGTGCCACTGCTCTGAACACACAGGAGGATGGAGCTACAAGGTGAATATCCCAGGCAGTGCTGGTTATTTAATGAGGTCAGCAGCCCCAAATAGCCCAGTGGGAGAGAGGAAGGGAGGGAGGTAAAGCAGCCCACCCCCATACCTGCCCCCAAGGCAGCAGGCTGTGCCCAGCCCAGGAGAGGTGGCTTTGCAGGGACAGAATTCACATGGTGAGTGCACAGCACCTCACTCCTTACAGTCTTAAGAGCTCTCATTCATGCCAAGAAACAGGACATTGCATCAGCAGTGGGGATCTGAAGCCAGGCAGACCTCACTGCATTCCTCACTGGTCCAGCTGCATCCTCTGCTTGTCCCTGGCTGCAGCATCCTCACCTGGCCTGGCTCACTGGGCAAGGAGCCCAGAGATAGGCACGTTTTCAAGGACTGGGAGCTGTTTTCCCTCGTGGCTAGACTGAATAATCACTTTGGCAGGGCTGTGCACTGCAGTGCTTTGCCTGCTCAGCCAATTGTCTGCCAGGGAGGTGCCCACGGGAGTTCACCTGGGCAGGAGGATGTTTGTACCCTTGGCTCATCCTGCTTGCACAACCACCCTGGCCCCAACAGCTCTTTTAGGCAGCTCTTGAGCTCCCATCATGTCACACATGTGACAGAGCTGTTGCATATAGAGCCTGAAGCCACGAGAGCTGGCTCTGCAGTTTGGAAGTGAATCCTTTGCCAGTGCTGGCCTGACAGTGATGTGAGCCCCCAGGCAGCTCTGCTGCTCAGCTCCATGCACATGCTGCTGGTGCAGGGCCAGCGTGTGCAGCACAGCAAACATGCAACCAAAACCTTCATCCCTGCCCTGGTCCTGGTGTGACTGCCGAGTCTGCCAGGACAGCGATGGGCTCAGCCGGACCCTGTAAGTTTTAGATAACATTTTTCTTTTTCTTTCAGTTTCTCCCAGTGGCATCAGGTCTGACATGATGAGTCAGACAGAGAGGGTAGCTCCTTGTGCTCTATGTGCTCCTCATTTGCAGCAGTTCAGATGCTTTTCATGGGGCTATAGGAGTGTCAGTGCCAATAATTGGAGTTAAATATATCCAAAATCGATTGGGTAATCTGGCTCTAGTTCTACCAGTGGGCAGTGTTATTAATGTGGCAGGGACCGAGGGACTGGCTGTGGTGGCCAGGTTTGGGCTGGCAGCACGATGGTCCTTGGTGATTCTCCAGGCACTCATGAGCACCTGGGGCAAGAATCACTGCTCTGTTACAGCTTACCCAGGCAGCCAAGGGCATTTTTCATCTTTCAGGAGATTGTTATTACAAATCGATGTTTTAGAAAGATTAGCTGAGCCATAAATCCATTTCTCCCTGCTCCTTGCAATTTACTTGTCTTTAGATGACAATGTGGCTTCTGTCAGAGACCTGAACTCTGTGAAAAGAGTCAAATAGGCACGACGTGGCCACGACATCCCTACTTGGGGATTCAAGCAGCAATTAGAACTTGGAGCTGAGATGCCCCAAATTCTTCAACATTCCTGTTCTCTGCACAGGCAAATATTTTCACACAGAGTCCAAGAGAGAAAAAAAAAATAATAAAATCTCCTCTGCAACAACCCAAATCCCACTGGAGGCACTGGCTTGGCGGGAGCATTCCAAGAAGAGGGGAGAGCTGAGTAACGCCGGGGCTGGTGCTCGTGGCTTGGCCCCTGCCTCGGGAGCCTGGGCGGGGATGGAGGAGCCCGGAGGAGCCCGGAGGAGCCGGCTTGGCCCCTGCCTCGGGAGCCTGGGCGGGGATGGAGGCGCCGGGCGGAGCCCGGAGGAGCCCGGAGGAGCCCGGAGGAGCCGCTCCCGCCCAGCTGCTCTCTCTGGCTGGAGGGGCCCGAGCGCAGCCCGGCGCGGGGCGCGGGGCCGGGAGCGCACGGCGCATCCCTGGCATTGCTGCGCGCTCCGGGGACCCGCAGCGAGCTCGGCCCAGGAGCGCTCGGAGCCTGCTGCTTCATCCCAAACACCTCTGCGAGCGCAGCTCTGCCCCCTGCATCCACACAGCCTGGCTGCCGGCCGGGAGAGCCACCGGGCTCCTGGTGACACCCCAGTCCCTCCTGCACCCCGCTTCGCCAGAACCGGCTGCTCCACGGCTGAAGCTGCCCCAGCGCCCCATCTCCCTTACCTTGGAGAGAATGCAGAGGAGGGAGAGGAAGAGGAGCTGCTTCTCCAGCTGGAGCCTCATGCTGCTCTGCCCTGTGCCACTTCAGCACATCACCCCCCAGCAGTTTGGAGGCAGTGTTCGCAGGTTTTAAAGCCCAGAGTGGGTCCTGCTGGTGTTTATACTCTCCCTGCTCTGATGTCACTCACAGGCTCCAATATAAACATGAGTAGGTTTGGACAAGCCTCAAGATTTTCTTTTTTTTCCATTCTTTTTTTTTTTTTTTTTTCCCCAGCCCACATTCCAGCTGCCATTTTCACTCTTCTCAAGGTGAGAATGTGCTGTCCACCAGGACAAGGAGTGAAGGGAAGGGATGCTGTGCTGTCCCTGGAGAGCAGGGAAGAGAGGCTGGGGAACCAGGCTGGTGGGGTGGTCCAGCTCCCTTTCCCTAGCCTGGGAGGGAAGCTTCATGCCCTATCCTGCTGATCAAAGTCTGCCCAGGCAGAGCTGGTACCATCTTCCTGGGATTTGAAGGGATTGGCAGGAGTGTCCCTGCTGCTGCTGTGGGACAATGCTGTGACCAGGCAGCAACAGGGCATCCACCTCTGTATTTAATGCTGCAGCCAGTGCAGGGCAGGCTGTGGAAGAGGGGGCACCCAAAGGAGCTGGAAATGGATTTGCTGTGGTGCTGCTGCTGCCACATCATCCCCATCCTGAGAGGGACTGTGGCCACCTGGGGAGGCGGTGGGGTGGGTGGATGCACATCGTGTTGCATTGCCTGATGCAGAGAGGGCTGCAGTCTGACCCTGCTGATTTCAAGCCCTGAAAAACAAATTCAGCCCCTGAAGTATTATGATTGTCTTAATCAATTGTAAGAATTAGAAATCCAAGTTTGGGGATGAAAAGCAGGTGCTCAACCATTGCCTCCCAATGCTTCCTCAGTCTGCCCCGTGCAAGCTTTTCTCTTGTCCCTTGTGACTGAGGATCTGAGGAAAGACAAACCCAAGCTCCTCAAGACCTACACTAGACAGAGCCACTTCCCCATATTCCCATTCCCCAGATCTTATCACAAGATTTGAGAGGACAATTTGTGGGCCCAGAGCCCAAAGGAGAGGCCTGAGCTGAAGGATGCAGGATGTCCTGCAGCTCTCCCTGGCTCCTCCCCTGCACCCCTGCCCCTTGCCTGCAGGATGTGTGCTTGGGCCAGGACTGCTGCTCCTGTGCTGGCCAAGGGATGATCCTGGTGGCTGTGCACAGACTGCCTGTAGCATCCAGGCATGAGAACTGCTGCCCGATATCAGGTGTGTGATGGCCAACACACAGGAGCTGCTGGCTGCCACAAGCAGAACACCAAACCACACAGCTAAGGGTGATGCCCCATCTCTCCCTCTGGCCTTTTCCCCCTCTGTTTTGCTTTTGTGAAACAGGTTCTCAGTCACCTGAGCAGCAATCCTGAGCTCAGCTCCATGCTTTCCAGAGCCTGGAAGCCAGGGCACGGAGCAGGGTGGGCACAGCCCAGCAGGGAGGAGGGCAGGCTGAACTCTCACATTACTACCCCAAATCCCTGCTGTGGCTGTGCTTCATTAGCTGCAGCCAGGCTGTTAACGAGGTCATGTCAGCTTGTGGGAACACCAGGACACTTTCCAAAGGCTGCTGTCACTTATGCAAGTGCTGGAGCCTCTGCCCTGCACGGCGGAGCCCCAGCTCTGCACCACCCAGGCCAAGCCTGGAGTCAGGGATCTGCTCTGGCAGCCCTGCCCGTGGCAGGGGAGGCATGAGGAGGGCACATTGCTCTGAACTCACTGGCAGGGGGTGGTTATGGTGGCACTCACAGGTGCTCACAAGCCCGAGGGTTTGATACCGGAGGCTGCAGACACCTCTGGTGTTCCGCTTTCTGCTCCACAGCCGGTGCCCTCCCACTGGCTACAGCTCAGCCAAACATCCTGGGACTGGCTTGGGAGAGCCAAAGTACTGATCCAGCCCTGCCACGTGGGGGCAGTTCCATTCATTATTCCAGCCTTGTGTTTATTAGGGATTCCTGATTAATGGCCGAGTTCATTTCCCAGTTAGAAATCAAGTGACAGCGCTGGTAACAGAAATAAAAACCTGTCATTTCCCACAATGAAGCACCTTTGGAGCAGCTGACAGAGCCGTGTGTGAGGTCTCAGGGGGCAGCAGGGCACCCCTGGGGGAGGCTGAGGCTCAGGGCTGCCCAGGGGAGCCAACTGAGCATTAAACCCCTGTCACCTGATGTGTCCTGGCTACAGGGTCAGCTCCTTTCTCTACTCTTTCCTCAGCTCTGAGCAAGAGGGGACCTTGCTTCCCCCCACCCCTGATGTCACTGAGATTTAGATGCAGTGAGGTGACATCACTGCGATGGTTTGACATCACCAGGAAGCTGTCAGAGCTCAGGCAGTGACAGAGAGCCCGAGTCAAGCCTGAGCCAAGCCAACACCCCCAAGTCAAGCAGTCAGATGGGGCCAAACCCAGCATCCCATGCCTGGCAAGCTGCCCACATTCTCATGGCATTGGCAATCCTCACTGGCACCTGGCTGGGTTTTGGAGGTGTCCAGTGGAGCTGGCTGGAGGGGTACCCATAAAGTCTACCATGATCTGCCTTCCCAGAGAGGATTCTCCATGGGTGACTTGGGCTTTAGCTTCCCCTCTCCCAGCTCTGGGTCCCACGTCCCCACCCAGGTCGCCGTGCTGGGGCTGCAGGCAGAGCCTGGCACAGGAATTCAGCCCCTGCAAATGCTTTGATGTGCAAAGCTGCACCAGAACAGCACATTAGCAGTTCATTTTATAAATACTGTTATAGCCCTTCCCCTCTGGAGCACGTAACCTGTAAGTGTTCTGTACCATACGTGTGATTTCAGAGCTAGTAATTAAGTCCATATGTCTCACTCCACAGTTTCCATGGTATTATTGTCAGGTTTTTTGGGGGGTTAGAATTTTTTTTTTTTGTGGTTGTGCAAGAAAATAGTTGATACAGGGGTCTGACTACATCTCCTTTGAGTTAGCCACTGGCAAGCTTTGCTGTTTCTATAGAAATGAAGGAACTGCCTCCTTCATTTCACATTTTAGAGAGCTGAGTTTTTCACGTGTTTGCTGCTCTAACGTGCCATCGTGAATAACACAGAAAAGCTCTCATTTGCACACGCTGCTCAGCTGAAATTGCATCCATCTGGGATGGATATTGAGCATATTCTCCCTTCATGCCATTCCTTTGCTGGAGACTCCCCTTCTTTCCTCTACATCATGTGTTAAGCACCCTCCCTAGAGCTGGGGAACTCAGAGCAGGTCTGGATGTCCATCTCTGGCAGGGAGCAGTGAGGCTGTCCTGGGTCCTGGCTGTGAAAATGCGGGTGAGCCCAGCTCCGTGCTTGGTGGGGAGAACATTCCCTTTGCTGCTGAGCACTCCTGGCCCAAATCCCCTCTGCAGAGGAGCAGGGCTGCCCATGCAGGGGGGACAGCACTGGCGGGAAGCTGGACAGACATCCAGCTTGGAAAAGCCAAGAGCTCTGAGCTGAAATGGAGATGCCTCAGGTCTCCTTCGGCTGTTGGACACTTTGGGGTGGCTGCTGGATGTTTTTCATGAGACTTCTGGAAAACACCATGGCTTTGGGAAATTTTGAAATATCTCTGCTTTTGGCAAGATGGGAGAATTGTTTCCTACCCAGAATGAATCTGGCTCCAGTTTCAAACAGCAAGAGAGGTGGTGATGGCTATTTCCACCCCTGTCTGGGCATTTTTATTCCCTCTGGTTCTCACACCTGAACTGCACAGCAGAGCCAGGCTGAGAGGACCAGGGACGGGCCAGGCAGTCTTTTACCTTGAGGTCACTGCTTCCACCCCAGGCCCGGGATGCAGGGACTGAAAGTATTTACCAGCTGGTGCCTGGCCAAGTGACTTGTGAGAAAAGAATTCAGGGCTGCAGTCCAGGTTCTGATGGTCAGGCAACTGCAACAGGAACCTTGGCTACATCTGGGACCAGCTGAGCCCTCCAAGCTCCCAGCCACGGTGGCAAGGCCAGCAGGGCACTGCCCCTGCCAAAGGACAGACAGGAACCATGGCTGGTGCTGGGAGCACTGGATCCTTCACCATTTCCCAGATGTTTTTAGGTAGGTTTCACTAAAAAGAAGCACTGATAAATGGGGCTTGGGGCTGGATCTGCTCTCAAAGTCTGACATTGCCAAGAGGAAGGAGCTGAGTGATGACATGAGGAGCAAATGGACTATCACAACCAAGAAAAGCTTGGATTAGCCAAAACCATAGTGAGAACTCATCCTTCAGACTGAGGGGCTTCTCATTAGCACAGCACAGCCTTGCATCAGCTGCTGTGAAGGGACAACAGAGAAAGATCAAACCCTGGGCAATACTTCTGTGAGATTTCTTTTTCCTGCAGTCCAGACAAGAACAATTCATAATTGTCCCACTAAGTTAAACAATCAGATAACTCAAAGAATAAGACTTTTGTAAAACAAAGCTTGGAAACTTCAGCCAGATGAGGTTTTCCATTGTTATCTGGAAAACAGTGTCAGAAATCATCACATATTCAATATTGTGATCCTCTGGCAGTTAACTTTTTTTATTGAGTATCAAACATAAACTTGTTTTAAAAAATATCACTGGAAGTTATATCTTTCAGACAAGATATAATCCCCAGATCCTGACCTTGTGTGGTTACTGACAGACCCTTTGTATTTTCCATGGAGCTGGATGCCTCACTCATGTTTCCTGATCAAATTGCTCATTCTTTTTGGCTATCTCGATTTTTCTCGTGGTTTCAGGCTAAAATAGACATTGTTTTTCCTTCAGTCCTTGTCTTGCTCGAGGGTGCTGCATGTTCTCACACAGCTGCCATGTCCCCTGCAGCATCAGAGGGGCTGCAGTGGAGGCACCCACGCGTGTGCAGGCAGTGATGCTTGCAGGTGTCTCCAAACTCACCTTGTAATTGTGCCAGCTTGCTTTAGGAGGGGTTTGGGGATGGCTGTGTGCCCTCCCAGCCCTGCTTCCTGTGCCTCTGGGAAGGCTTTCCAGGGTGCAAGCACTGCATGCTTGAGGCAGCTGGTGCTGTGTGGTGCTGGAGGAGCTTTGGGTGACACAGCCTGTGTCTGTTCCCAAATGTCACAGCCCTTCACATCCCCAGGGCTGCAGCAGGAGCAGCTCAGGGTGCTGGTGAATCCA